GGGTTCTGTCTGATAAGAGCTCGAGTATGGAGTATACGGATATGATAATGTCAGTGGTCGTCTGGCAATGTGGATGATATGATCAATGATTGAGAGTTGAAACGGTTAAATTTGATTATAGGGTATTGAAGATTCTACACAATAGTGGTAATTCCCAGAACACTTGGGTCTGTCTTGAAGGTGTGTGGTGTTGATGTTCTCATCCAACATCGGTGACATCCGAATCCATCATCTTCCAGAAGGGTTCTCTTGCTTTGTCATCAAGCTACGTACCTCAAATGGCGGTCCATCACGTGTCAGAGCGACAACGACGGATACGTTACCTGGTTACATTAACCTGATAACAAATCCCAATGATTTCGGGATGGTCACTGTCAAATCTTGAGGGCCAGTTCGTAATCTAGACATTTGAACCTTTGGTGGGATAAAGAGACACAAAAGTCCGTTCAGGAAGATAATACCGCGGGTTTGTGTCTGAAGTCTGACGGCTTTCTTGTAACAGCCCGGCGCCTCCACCTCATTACGGAGACGAGATTGCCCAATTACGGGAGTTTATACGGCATAACAGTCTTGGCCCGGTCGCACCAACGGTCATGTTCAACAACCTCAGGAGTTCCAGGGGTTAATTGTGATATTGAGGACTTCGGTTTGCGCCGGTGAGGTTCATCTGTTTGCTGGATCGGACCGATCCTGGTATAACGGCACCAACTTGCGCCAGATGGCCCTTCGAAAGGAAGTTCATGATGCTCGTTGGGGTACATGCCACCAACACATAACGATCTGGTAAAGGTACCTTCTGCAGCTGTACTTGTAGAAGAGAGAAACAATTGACAAACCCGTACCCAGATTCTCTGCCGAGTCCCTGGGATGCAAATCACAAACAAAGGATCGTTACTCCGCACTCCGTACTCCGTATTACTGCTCCATCGCGCTCCTTTGATGAGTAAGTCGTCCAAACTCGCAGTATAATTAGCATTCAGGAACAGGAATAGTGCTCAACGTCACTGCCCAATCACCAGCAACGTCATCATTGTTGGCTATTTTATCCGCCAAACTGCAGCTGCGAGCCATCAGCCGGATTACTAGATTAAGGCGCCGTGAGACATCACGACATTGTGCATGGCGGCGTGCATTTGTTCCACCCGCCGATTGAAGGGAGATGGAGGCGCTGTGCCCCGGATTGATGTTTTGCTTTGGAGGGTGACCCCTACTGGATCTAGTGACCGTTCAGCGGTGGATACCCGTGGTTCCAGAATCAGACCAGCCGTCTAGTGAGGCAGACCGTGCAGAAGATCCCCACTGAAACATGCCTGCTCGCTCAAGATTGCTCCTGAGAGGCAGGTACGACGTTCAGGGACGGCCCAGGTTGTACCCCTGTCACGAATCATTGGCTCACACTCTCTCGTGTTTTCCTCGCACGCTGCTTCTCCTTTTCCCTCCGACCTCCGTCACTCTCGTATTTCTCCCACAATACAACAACCCGAGTTGACGGATAATCATCAGAGGGAAGACGGTGCGAGTCATTTTCTTCCAACATTCTTCCAACATTCTTGTCACTCCTTAAGACAGTCCATTTGCCTCGGCTGCGTAATTTTATACTCTCGGCTCCCGGCTTCCACGCTTCGCCAACTCCAACTCGACTCGCGGATCTTTTTGTCAACGCGATTCTCCAATTGTCCACGCTCCTTCGAAACATTAATATTCCCTCGACCCAGAAACTTGTTGTGAACCGGACGAAACAATGATTGTAGGTGCTCCAGTGGCCGTTGAACCTGTTCCCGATAGTGGCGCCGCCAGAGGTTGTCAGATCCTAGCTTCTCAGCCCGGCCAGACCCCTCCGTCCCAAGTCTCAATCAGACAGACATCAGCTCCTAGCAATGACAGACATGTCTAACACCTAGGCTTCATTCTAGCTTCAAACGGCGCTCCTTGCGCTCGGCGCGACCCTTGCCGCCGCAGTCCAGCCCCTGGAGGTCAAGGACAACTACTTCATCAACCCCAAGACCGGCAACCGCTTCCAGATCATCGGCGTCGCCTACCAGCCCGGTGGTTCGGCTGGCTACAAGCCGCAGGAGGGATTCGACCCCCTGAGCCGCCCGGAACACTGTCTCCGTGATGCTGCTCTGATGCAGGTTCTCGGCGTGAACACCATCCGTGTTTATAACTTAAGCCCGGATCTCAACCACGACGAGTGCGCCAGCATTTTCAACGCGGCCGGCATGTACATGGTGCTCGATGTCAACTCCCCGCTGGTCGGCGAATCCCTCCAGAACTTCGCCACGTGGGAGTCGTACTATGACACGTACCTCAACCGCACCTTTGCTGTCGTCGAGGCCTTCAAGGACTACCCCAACACGCTTGCCTTCTTCTCTGGAAATGAAGTCATTAGCGACATTCCGTCCGGCAAGGTGGTCCCGCCCTACGTCCGTGCTGTCACTCGCGATCTCAAGGAATATATTTCGCTGCATTCCGATCGCCCGATTCCCGTCGGTTACTCGGCCGCTGACGTCCGTGACGTCCTCTTCGACACCTACAACTACTTCCAGTGCCACGAGGAGGGTGACGACAAGGACATGAGCCACGGTGACCTCTTTGCCCTGAACAGCTACAGTTGGTGCGGAGACAGCGACTTCAAGAAGTCCACCTTCGACGACCTGGTCGAGGGCTTCAAGGAGAGCTCGGTTCCCATCTTCTACTCGGAATACGGCTGCAACGAGGTTACCCCACGTATCTTTACCGAAGTCGGCACCATCTATGGACCCGAAATGACGGGCGTGTTCTCTGGCGGCATCGTGTACGAGTACGTCCAGGAGGACAACAACTATGGCCTTGTCGACGTCAAGGAGGATGGCACCGCCAAGATCTTGCCCGATTTCTATGCCTTCCGTGACCAGGTTGCGAAGCTTGACCACAAGGCCCTCCAGAGCATGAAGCCTCCTTCCGGGCCCGCGAACAAGGCTCCTGTGTGCTCCCCCAAGCTGATCAAGACCAAGGGTTTCGCCAACAACTTTACCCTCCCTGTCCTCCCACCTAACGCTCCTGAGATCCTCAAGGCGGGTGTCAAGCCCAAGCCAGTTGGCAAGCTCGTGAACGTTGACTCTTGGAAGGTGACCTTCAAGGTCACAAACCCGGACGGCTCTACTGTCAGCGATCTTGAGGTCAAGCCACTGAGCAATGACGAGACCAACCGTAAGTGGCAATTCTTTGCTCATTCTGCCATGCTGTGCATTTTCATCTAACATTTTTTTATCCAGAGCCTGGCACCAACACCGTTAACGAGGGTGACAACCCGACCAAGACCGGCAGCTCCGCCAGCGAAAGCTCCAGCAATGCCGCCGTCGCCGGGTTCGGGGCTGCTGGTGCCCCCGCTCTGGCGCTTGGTGCTTTCGCTTTCGTTGCCGGTTTCGCTCTCTAAAATAATTGTGAAAGGCACGGCAGTAATTATTTTTCACACCGAACGGGCTCTTCCAAGGTGTCAGTCTGCCACTCCATTGTCTTCTGGGCTGTCGATATGGGAAATCACATGTTATCGAAGCGGTCAGGGATCCCGGCATACATTAAGGGATGAATCTCTGTTGGACAACAAGGTTGGATTGCAAACATGTCCCAATTGCATTTTCATTTTAGTCAGTCTTTGTGGGCTCCTTTTCTTTTGCACATATGATACCAGTTAGCCCCATCCTTCTATTGGGTGGGGAGGGGGAGAGGATGAGAACTTTTTCTACCAAGTATCAATAATCAGACGGTGTGCTTGTTCATTACGGCGTCGCGGGGAGGTTCTCAGCTGGCTGTGAGTGTATATATTGCCTGTTCTGAGGCATTGGTTATGCTTGTTTGTAGATTTAATGAATGAGGAGAGTTTCTAGTAAGACAAGAGCTTAATCTCCCATGCTTGCCTTAGGTGCGTGCCCTGCTGCTCTGTTTTGGTTTGACTTTTAAGCAGGTCAATGCTAGGTGCCGGTTTCTGGGCGACATGGAGGATCTGTCGGGCACCAGCGTCTGGTGGTTGCCCTCCTGACCACTCCTCTGTGCTGCTCGATAGCATATTCATCCCAAGGTTGAATAGGCACAATACTAAGCACTGGTTACCCTTGTTGTGTGTTTGTCTGAAAGCTCCCTCTGTCTTGTGGTCCGTGAGTCAACCGGTCGGCCAGCTTTGTTTCTCACGGGTATAAATTCGGCGATTCCTTCGCGGACTTTTTATTTCCTTTCCTCTTTTGTTCTTACCATTCGCCTCGATGACTCAATTTGCGTGCACCGCCATTCTTCGTCTTCCTGCTTCTCTTTTTTTACTGCCCAGTCCACTGGTCAAGACGCAACTTTGTACGTTGATAATTTCTTGAGTTTTGTTGATCTCTTTCCCAGACCTCATGCCTGGATGAGACGAGCGAGCGACCTATCAAGTTCCTCAGAACTCAACGGCTTTTTCAGCAAGAGTCCCACAACGAGCAGCCGGCAGCTTTTCTCCCTTCTTTCGCCCTCACGAAACTCAATATACAGCAGATGAACCGCCTCAGATCATCCTAGCTGTCGAATTATTGAGCAGCCTTTATTGCACAAGGCATCTGAAGCTCGGACCGTTTCGATCTATGAGAGGGACAACCACAAGTTACAAAGCTAACTTGAGTCACTAACATTGAACTGGCATATAGCTAGAAGCCCTTAACCTACCTCCTTCCCTGGCACTTGCTGCAGTCACTGACATCTTGACGACCACCGGACCATGGTACTCCCACCCCACCCCAGGCTATCAACTCCAGGCGCTACATATTTTGCCATTACAACGATCTTTCAGACGATATCGACCATTTGCTCAGCAATCTCTAGGCTCTAGCTGCGTCCAAGGGTCTATCTAGTACCTTACTGATCGTGAGAGTTCAAGCCACCACCGCCCCCTTCCCCACTGACAACACAACTTTCTTCGACTCCCGAGCCCAAGAGAGGGTATATAGAGAACTTCTAATCTAGGGGTACTAACAAAAAGCCACAAAAAGCACACAGCCCCCGTAGCTCAGTGGTCGGAGTGCGGCCAGCGTTGATTGTTTCACTAAAACTATCTCAGGGTTTGAGATTAGCAAGTTTTCCAGCGAGGTCCACAGCCCACCTCCTGGAAGGCTTCCTCCCACAACACTACAAACTCACCATACGGCTCTCCGTCCTGCTCCTGAAGGTTTTGCAGGCCGGAGGGTCATATGGTGAGTTTGTAGTGCAGTGGAAGGAAGCCTTCTAGAAGGTGCAAAATATCAGCGTACCCGAGGTCAGCGGTTCGAATCCGCTCGGGGGCATTCTTTTTGCAGTTCTCTTTTTCTAATCAAAAAGAAATCTGAAGGAGAGAGCGAGGAGTATGTACCTCCCTGATTATTATTGCAGTATATAATCTGGCAACAGAAGGCAGGATCTACAGCCCTGCCAAAACTATGGTATACCCGTAAGGCTAAAGACCTGGAATCCGCGACCCAATTCCCAACCCAAGCAAAAATCATTTCAAAACAAGAAACCAGAAAACCAGAAAAGCTCATATTAACCTCTAATAAACACAGCAACCCTCATTCATACCCCAACCACCAACCCCCTCCCAAGCCACAACCCAACACCGCCCAAAGCAGCACTAACCCCCAAAACCACAACAAGCCAAAACCGTTCAGCAGCACCACCCCCATGATCATGATCATTCCCAAAACTCCAATCCATCTCCCCGAACCCCCTTCTCTTCTTCTTCCTCCCGCCAGCAGCACCAAACAAATCCCTCACCTCCTCCTCCTCACTAGGTGGCCCATCCTGCACCTGCACCGTATCCTTACCCAACCTTGGCAGATACTTGAACCCATGCGACGCCTCGACCCCCCTGCACTGATTCATCACCGCCTCCTTCCGAAGCAACCGCCTCATGCGACAAATATTCCGCTCATCCAGACAAGGAACCGCCCGTCTGACATACGCAAAGCCCATAAACAGCGCACACTGTAATCCCACCAAGACAAAATAATACAAGCCTGGTTTTGGAATTTTCAGCGCGGTGGCGAGTTCACGGCCATTCAACCAATGCGCTTGCGCCTGCAAAAAATCTCTGCTTGCAAATGTAGGCGGTTGATTTTGGAGTCCTGTGATGATATTGTTCGCTAGTGCTGCGCTCGTTGGGGAAGGGTCGATCTCGTATAACCCCAGCGACTCCATCAGCGCCTTTGCCTTTTCGGGGGAGGAAAAGTGTTGCTCGTCGACGGGGGTTCCCATCAGGTAACCCACCCAGCGCCAGAGAGCGAGGTAGTCTTGGATTTCTTGTCGGCGGAGGAAGATCCCCTGCCGAGGGAAGCCCAGGAATACGACCGTCGCGGAAAAAGCAATGATAGTGGCCATGCTATCTAGGTCGTTTATCGGGATTCCGTTGCTTTCGACGTTGTAGTACGAGGCATCTTCCTTCGCAAGGAGGAGGATCCGTCGACGCACCGAGGCGTGTAATAATCTGACTTTGACGGAGGATACGAAGCCCTTGCCGTTGTGAGGGCCCGGCTTGATGGAATCCAAATCGCGGGTCACGTCGAGGACGTGTTGGAAAGTATCCAGCAGCCGCTTGCGCGTGATCTTGCCGCTGAAGCCGCCTGTTTTGGAGAGGGTGTGGGATACCCTGGAGGAACCCATTCCGCCGAGGAGGGATTGGAAGGTTAGAGAGATGACGAAGGGGAGGGCGTATCGGTAAAAGACGAGCTGGCCGCGGGCGATTTGGGCCCAGTCTACCCATTCTGGGATGGTGTGGATTTGGGACCATAGAGACGAGAGGGTCTCGTTTTCGTGGTGGTGGGTTTGCAGGAGGGTGAAGAGGTCTCTTTTGTGGTGGGAGCTTTTTGGTTTGTTGTTGTCTGGGTTTCCCGATTGGGAGGTTTGTTGATCTTGCCCCTGAGTCTGAGCTTGACGGTCTTGTTTTGCGGCCGAGATGTTTCCTTTGACTGGGTCTGGGTCTGCGCTTGCAGTTGTTGTTTGGTTGCCTTCTTCTTTGGTAGATTGTGATGATGAGTACTGGTCGAGCACGTCGAGAGCTTCCGTGGCTAGTACGTCATAGGAAAACATATAAGGCCGCATCTGCTCGGGGGTCAAGTGGTCTGGAGTCCACGTAAACTTGAACCCGTAGGCGGCGCAGCGCTCGCCGTCCTTTGGGGTAGATGCCATGCTGCCGGATTTGTGTAACCAGGTGAGTGGAGGAGAAATGACAAGTTCACATCAACTTGATATGCACTCAAGAATGTCAAAGAGAAATATCCAACTTGATATAGAGAACGGAAAACATGTTACTAAGCTTGGCTTGACTCCAAACCCCAAAGGCAAAATCAACCGAGGAACTAGGCAGGTCCTGGCCTCCCAATTACAGCTGGTCGGATGCGGGGTTCTTGATGAAAGCCGCTCTGGGCGCGCATCTCGATACCAACCGCATGTGTTAGCGAGATGGTTGATGATATATTCCCGGTATAGTAGAATGGGGACAGGCAAGTGTGCAACCTTCACCATCTCGTTCATGAGTGGGATTTGGCTTGAAAAGTGTTGGGGTGGCTCAAGACAACACATGTTGCCGAGGTTTTGTATATGATGGATGTTGAAAGTCACAGCACATCCATCTGCGTGATCTTGCATTAATGAGCCTTGAGTGAGGTGTGTGACATTTTCCCCGCGTGGGCGACGACGCTGGGATGAATGCTCAAGATGTGATCGAACATATCACAAAGTTGGCAGGCATATAGAGATATTGAGGTTGAAATAAAGCCGAGGCAGCGATTTGCAGTCCTCAACGGGAACTGCAAGTCCACGTAGATCGCGACTGATGACGACGACCATCGCGGGGTATTCGGATTCCGGGGCCTCAAGTGACTACCTCAGTCAGGTATCCCGTATCGGGGCCCTTTTGCGAGCCGCATAGTGATATTCTCCGTAATCGTATCCGTATCGGCGCCTTGTTCAAAAAATCACACAGACAGCGGTACCGCCACTAATGTGCTTGTTGTCGGTGAGTTGGTAGGATAGTGGCGTGTCTGTTCTGGTGAAAAATACCAACAATTTGCGGTTGCAAGTTGAAGAACATTTGAAGAGAAGAAGGCCGAGATGGACTCAGCCGATAAAGCCTTGATTGTGGGGATGACGGATGCCCGTGCGTCCCCTGTACTCCGTATGCGCTTCAGCCTTCTGGAAGCTCTTCAGGGGCACGGCACTGCGGCTGTGGAGATTTTGGCGCGTTGATTGACTGGTTACGGGCGCGTCAAACCGAACCCCTTATCCGTACCAAAATATTTTTTCTGCATCCCAGAATCTGATACCGAGCAAAAGTTCAACATCCACGCTCTTTTTTTCCGCCACTGTTGCTGGGCCATTGTCGTCGCCTGCAAACATTCACCGTACAGACCAAGTTTCTCCCACCGCCCACTTCGTGTACAATGATGAACTGCTCTTGTCGCACAGCTGCGCTGCGGCTCTTCGTACGGAATGTCACGTCAATACAAGTGCCCGCGGACTTTGCGTTGGCGAGGCAGGCGGCACGAACCCAATGCCTCTCAACAGCGACAACCTCATCTCTCCTTGCCGGGCTCGAAGGCCAACGCACAACGGGCGCTTTTAGGAGTCTCCAGCAGTCTCGGTCGCTCCACATGACGGCTGCAAGGCCCAACGCCGAGGCCGCAGTTGCCACTGCCACATCTTCAACGACATCAGAAATCAACAATGACAGTATCCAAAGCCTAGATAACGAGTCTAGTATTCCTGCAAGGAAGCTTCGAAAGATTAGGAGACAAGCAGAGAAGGAAAAGTTAAAACAAGTGGAGGAGGAGGCCAAATACAAGGCAAGAGTTGAACGGAGAGCCGAGGCCGAAGCGAAGGCCGCGAAATTCAAAGGAAGCCCGGGGAAGAAGAAGGAGTTCATGAAGGTCACGAACCCAGCAACGGACACGACAGATGCGACAGATGGCCCGGAATCGACAGAGGCCGCCGAAGTGAAGGAAGAAGAGGGCCAGTCACAGAAGCGGACAAGGAGAGAAAGGAAAAAGGCGAGAACCGGCAAACAGAAAAAGGTCGACAAGGCCTCAGAGGACCAGCAAGCAGAGAGCAAGGAAAAAAAACTAAAGCCGTGGGAAATAGAAAAGAAGAAAAAGGAAGAAGAACGAAAGAAGCAAGAAGAGGAGGAGCGTCTGAAGAATCTGCAGCCCTGGCAGATCCAAAAGAAGATCCTCAAGGAAAAGTTCCCCGACGGCTGGAAGCCGATGAAGAAGATGTCCCCCGACGCCATGGCCGGCATCCGTGCCCTCCACAGGCAGTTCCCAGACACTTATACGACCGAGGTGCTGGCGCAAAAGTTCGAAATGTCCCCCGAGGCCATCCGCCGCATCCTCAAGAGCAAGTGGGAGGAGAAGGACGAGACGCCCGATATCGACGTCAAGCGCCAGGAGAGATGGTTCAAGCGCGGAAAATCCGTCTGGACGCGCTACGCCGAGATGGGCAAGAAGCCGCCTCGCAAGTGGCGCGCCGAGGGAATCGTGCGGGATCCCAGGTTCAACGAGCGCCGTGGTGCTACCCACCCGCAACACCGCCGATCTGTGCGGGCGGTGCGTGAGTCGTACGAGTCGAGGCCGGATGGGGATGAAGGTGCCGTGGAGGCCGGGGCGAGGAAGGAATGGATTGCCAAGCGGCAGCAGCGGAGGAACACGATGGCCAGGGAGAGGAAGCTGCTTCGCGAGGCTTCTGATGGTTTGATGAAGGGCTTCTTTTAAGGCTTGCTGTGGTTCTTGCCTCCTCTCGTGGTTCGTTGACATGGTCATTGACCATTTGATTCTCCGCTTTCGTTCTCCATCTTGTACTTTTATTTGCTTGTGAATATTTGTAAACATATGACTTATTAATAAGAAATAGAATATATATCACACTACACGGGCTATTTTTACTGGGTATCTACGGTTAAAGGTTTCTTGGTTCATAACTTCAATTTCTTATAACGAACTATCGAGAAGGGGTTCTGCTTCAAGAGCATCGAGGGGACTTCTTCATCTCAGACACACCATTTCACCGGTCAACCACATGGGCTGTCAGGGTGTGTCAAAGGATCAGGCGCCTCTTTTGAGTAACATACGATTAACGGACTCGAAGGGAAGGCACTCCTCACGGGGGTATCCTGCGCCGTTGATTACCGGTGGCGGAGTGTTCCGGTTCCTTCCCACCGCAGCTGACAACGTTTCTCATCCAAAATCAGCAGGAGCAACTGGTTCAACAGACCTTTGGAAGGTGCCCCTCAACGTCCTCGCCGGTTTCGGCCTTCAGA